GTTAAGCACGAAAATTAAAATTTTTAGTTACAAAACTCACGAAAATTGGTTGGGTTGGAGACTGTTCGCAAATTAAAACAACTAAGTCAAGAAAAAGGTATTTCTTTTGACACTATAGCTAATACTATTCCAGTTAATGTCGTGCCGTAAGTCATTTCTGAATACCTCAGGACTGTCAGCATAACCGATGTTGAGGCCGAAATAGATTTAATTTTAGATCGAGCGCAAATTCTTAACACACCTTCCAACGATCAGACTAGATCACCTGTTCCGGGCTTCACTGTTTTTTAGGCGTTAGATGAAGGAGAGGGTCACAAAAATGCCGCGCATTCTAGAAAAGTTATCCAGCCGCGCTGAAGGAAAAATGCGCAGGCCTTATCACAGAATTAATAATGCATTTTTGACAAAAATTTTCTTGCTGACCCTTGCTACAGGTTTTTGTTGTTAAAAAATTATCATTTCGAGGAAGATTTCCAAATGTCGCAAAGCGCTGGTCTAATCAAACTGCCAAAGTGGCGCGGCACATTGTTCCGGATTTTTTTTAATTTCTGGTTTGCTTGCAGAGATATAATGTGTCAGCCTTCTTAATTACAGAGGCTGTGCAAAGGAAGACAAATAAGCAGTTGCTGCAGAGAATAATTTCTTTTTAACCAAGTGCGAGGGCCGTTCAGAGCATTATTGGCCCAAAATCCTGGAAGTACGAAGCGAGCGTAGCGAGGCCCGTAGAAAAACGATCGGGGGCCAATATTTCACAGTACAGCTCAAGCAAGCAATGTTACTAAGGGTTTTATCATGGCATTCGGGAAAACCTCATTAATTTTATTTTTTCGGCTTTCACGAAGAAAAATATACGGCTTAAGATCACTTCCGTGGAAGTAGTCCGTATGGCAAGGTCCAGACCGAGTAAGAACTAATCAGAAAGCTTGCATTAACCTCAAGACTTTCGAGCCATGTAGTAAGTTGTTAGAGCCTTCAAGCTCGAGGTATTTCCGTCAATGGCATATTTTCTCACGGAGCTATTTAGTTTGAGAAATATATGTCCTTGCAACTTTTTACCTCGTGTTCGAGTTTTTCTGCTAAAAGTTCATTGTAGAGAAAGAGTCACACATAATCTTTAGTTTGTGTGTTTGCTTTTTTTTAGGTGTGGTTGTTGACTCAATCGAATTAGTTTTTGCTTAGCTTACTAATTGACATTCCTTTTTTAGATTTTGACGTTCAAAAAATGCTCAATCGGTATCACAACCTCTTTCCCAGGGCCTTTTCGCTCAGTTGGGGGTGGCCCCACCCCCAGCTCCACCCCTAACTAAGTGAAAAGGCCCTGGGAACGAGGTTGTCGGTATCAGTGACGTTGTATACTGACAAATCGCAGCTTCAACATCCGGGGCAACCCACAGGCTTTTGACTGTCGTCCTTTGATCCTTACCTGGGTGGGGTAGGGAATTTGAATTGGAAGTATCAAGTATTTCCAGGGTAATATTTGTGGTTTCAAGTTTCAATATGGAGGTACTTAAAGCGAATAGCTCAGAAAATAGAGTCTATAAGGTCTAGGTTTTGGAGCTTGAATAGTCAAATCAATCGCTGATCGTACCTTTTACAAAAGATGTGACATTGAAATGAGGGTTTCAATGAAAAGATGGCTTTCACGGCCAACGGTTACACTTTTTGGCCATTTTATACGGCTAATGCTAATTTTTTTATGGTTACAGTATTTAGGACTCACGGTGAAAATTTATCAGTTTTTACGCCTAACGGCTAATTTTCGCCGTTTTACGTCTAGCAGTTAACCCCATTGCGAACCACTAAGATCTAGCACCTGGGCAGGACATTTGAACATGATTTTGGCCCAGGGGAGCTGGAACCAACCTTCAAAACTTTTAAAAATTCCGGAGGGGAGGCGATGTTGAAGCTTTGAATTGTTCCATGCACCATTTTTTCTTCGAGCGTAATACTTTCAGTATCCCTCCACCTAACGATGTCATCTCTTGGATAATCGCCGAGAAAAACCGTGCCACAGTGTCTTTTCCCACTCGCAACTAAATCGAATGATTTTCCCTTAAAAATAATTACCATAGGGGTTTTCAAAGGGGTGGGGGTGAGTTCTCCTACAGTCGTATCTCTGCGTTTCAGAGGTGCTTGAATACGGAAACAAAAACAGACGCCCTCCGCTAGCTTACGGAACGTGTTATTGTAAACAATTCCGCCATGGGAAATGGAGGAGGATTTTTAAAACGAGAGAAGAGATAAAAACCAATCTGCCGTGGTTAGCTACGCAAGGCTAGCTTACTGCACTGATTTCCTGATCGAACACGATGCTAACTTTTAAAATGTGCTTGGAGTTCCGGATTTAACTGCGAGGAGCCTAATTGAATTGTGTCGTGACGTAAATGACGATGTTGCGATTTTCACAAAGTTCGGCCTGGTTTTTCCGCGCGGAAATGAGAAGCCCCAAACTAATTGTTATACATTCGAAAACAACACTTTACTTAATATGGACTTAATCTGAAACGATTCTGAGTTATACCTCATGGAGGAAATGATAGTTGCAAATTTGCTACGAAATGCGATATTTAGATTTTGAAATATTGGTGATTTAAAAGCGTTCCCGCTGAACTTAAAATGAAGTGAAATTGTCCCGTTAACCCAAATCTCAATCCCTCCTATACAAATTTTTCAGAATGATACGAGCCTGCTTTCTTTTGCCCTTTTCATGAGCAAAGTTCATTTGCCTCTACTTGGGGCATTGATTTCCGCTGTTTTACGGCTACCGACGCTCGTTTCAGTTTTGGTGAATTTTCTAGGAGAAAGAAGCAAGTCTGGGAAAAAAATCTTTCCACGTTTCTAAGTTCACTAATAGGTATCTCTGGGTAAAATATAAAAGTTTTCAATTTTTCGATCATGTGCGACATTTTTCGATTGTCACTCGGTCAATTCAAGCATTCGCTCTTACAATAACTAAATGGTCACTTATCCGTCATTGAAAATTCAATCGCTAACCTCAGCCTAGAATACCCGGTAAACTTGTTCTGGATAAAAGGAAGAATCACTACTTAACTGAGGTTCACAATCAATCGCCCAGATTACTACTCCTCAGTTTGTGGAATGGTAAAAATTAATGGTTAAGTCCACAAAATCAAACATTGGAGCAAAATCCAATGACAGGTAGAGATTGGTTATCCGGTCCTTTTGTAATATTTTCACTCTGTTGAATTGTCTTGATCGGTGATCTAGAAGATACAGTTTACAGTTGATGTAACCTGATTTACTAGCTGTCCTTTAATGTTGTTACGGGTAGTCAGCCAAAAAAAAAAAAAGGGGGAAATTTACCAAGCATACAAACACAGTACTTACACAACACATTGATAGCCTCGGTCTTAGAGTTTTTTCCACATCTATTACTTGCTTCACATGTGTACTTTCCAGCATCATTTCTGCAAATGCTGGTGAAATTTAATAGGATCCCAGCATAGTGCTCATCATTAATAACTTTGATCCAAGAAACAATTGGCAGAGGAACCCCAGATGCCTCACAACTCAGGTTATATGGGAAACCTTCAATTGCAGTATTTGGAGAGATAACTACACTGTCCACAGATGGAGAATCTGTAATTAAATTGAGAAATGATTTTAATTTGGAAATTTTGTTATTAGACACCAAATATCCACAGATGGCAAATCCTGCTACTCTGATTTTTTATACACCTTAAATTAAGACTTTTATCGGAGATAGATAGATAGATAGATAGATAGAGAGTTTATTAGAATATCGAACATGGCAGTCCGTAGACTGAATTGCGTTACAATTACTTAGAACTAGGAATAAATACAATTGAAATTATAATAAAACCAGAAATGCGAAAAACTTTCTATATATGAATATGTACAAATTAGTCTAAAAAAAAGAATTTATGTACACATACTTGGAATAAAAGTGTTCTTAAAACGATTTGCATGTGTACGGGGCATGGCATAAGCCCTGGACTGTCTTAGATTATATCTGTGTTCTCTCTTAGGAGGTAAGACAGGCACGAGTTTGTGATCCGGGCATGACGTGATAGACTCGAAAAGCTTGCTACACAGAGCCACGCGTCTCGCGTGCAAGGTTACTAAGTCGAACCTGGCCAAACATTCGAAATATGACGCATAAGGACAAATGATGGAGAGCGCTCTCTTTTGCACTCGTTCAATGTCGTCACTAAGATACTGTGGGAGCGCGTGATGGAAAACTGGCGCACAGTACTCTAAAACAGATCTTATCACGGTGCAATAAAAATTTATAATGTCGCTCAGTGGAACGTTTGCGCGCTTTAGAAGAACAATAAANAAGGTCCGCGTGATTTGCTTACGATATTATTAGCCTACGTAGTCCCAAAGCACGCGCACGCGAGTCGCACGCGCACAAGTTCATTAACGTCTTCTTAACATTCCCCCTCCCCACACTGGGAGGTAGTCCTAGTGTGTTTCCAACTAAGCAATTAACAGTTAATTCCAAGCGGAACCAGTTTGTTAATCGGTCTCATGACAGTCTTGACACCACACGCAACTTCAGCTACACGGGTGTGGGTATCTCGTCCAGGATACACTTCAACAATCCGTCCTAATGGCCAAAGTCCTCTTGGGGTATCGGGCTGGATTACAAGGACTACATCCTCAACTTTTAGGTCTCAACACTCTGAAGTCCACTTTGGTCGACTTTTAAGGGCTGGAACAACTTCCTTCAGCCATCTCCTCCACACTCGTGAAATAATGTCTTGAACCTTTCGCAATCGTTGACGCGGATGCAAAGTAGTGGTTTCAACGGCCTCAGAGTCCTTGAACAGCATAGAAAGGACCTGCAAAATCGACGGCTGTTTGGGCGAAGGGTCTGAGGCTGAAACGGAGCCTCATTTGCGGAAGTGGGGGTCATAATCTGACAAACTGGCTTGTTTCGTCTTCTTTTACATTCGTTACATTCACGATCCCACTCGCGAATCTCCTCGCGTGCGGCGATAATTCAAAATCTCTCACTCAACTGGCAGAGTGAAGTTTACTCCAGCAGCATGATTTCCTCTCTCATGATAGTGCTTCACAATAAGTTTCGTCACCCAGTGTCCACGAGGTACAATGATTGGAAATCTGGTATCATATGGAAGAAAACCTACGAACTTTAATCGGCCATCACTGTGGTTAACTCCATCGTCGTCGATACACGGGTTAAGCTTTATCAACTGGCTTTTCTTTGGTATCGGCTTTCCTGAGCTCAAAGCTCTGTACTCGTCACAGAAAGCGTTGCGTTGTGCCAAGCGCACTATTTCTCCTTCAGCATCCTTTAATTCTTCGGTCAACAGTTCCACACTTTCATTCCTATTGTCTCTGTTGCACATGTTTTGTAGCACTCTTCTCACTCTCGCGTGTACTCGAACAAAACGTGTCCAACTGGAAAACCGTTTCGGATCTAGTCTCCACTCTTTTAGCGTGTTTCTCTGTTTCGCTGCGGTTCCTTTCTGAAAATTATACGTCATGAGGGTTGCATAGGCATTCATGTCTTCTTTCCTTTTCGAGTTTCTCATCTCTGGCATTTCACTAGGTCTGTCCGGGACTTTCATCTTCGACCACTTACTGAAATCATATGTCAGCCAGTCAGGACCATTCCACCACAAGGAACATTTGGCTAATTCTGAAGGCGTGACCCCTCTTGTACATAAATCGGCTGGATTCTCTTTGGTAGAGACATACTGCCACTGCGACGGCTCAGTAAACATCTGTATTTCACCAATTCGGTTGGCTACGAACGATCGGAAGTCCTTGCCGCGTCCTCGAATCCACCATAGAACATCTGTACTGTCAGAGTAAAACGTCACGCTTTGCATTGGTACTTCTAAGGCTGTCAGCAACAACTGTGCTAAGCGCAAACCCAAAACCGCACCCATGAGTTCCAGTCTGGGTACTGTCATCGAGCTCAGTGGCGCTACTTTACTCTTTGCTGCCATCAGGCGACTGGTTACATTATCGTTATCGTATCCGCAGTGGATATAGACTACTGCACCATAAGCTTGTTGAGAAGCATAGACAAAAGTCACAATGTGCTTCCACTTAACAGGCTCTGGACTTCGCAGACACCGAGGAATCGTCACCTCGTGCAGACTTTTCAATTGCTCGAACCAAGTCCCGATTTTGTCGGCTAGTTCATCTTGAACTTCGTCGTCCCAGTCGTAACCTCGCATTCACAATTCCTGAAGTAGAATCTTTGCCACAATGACTTACGGGCATACGAATCCCAATGGGTTAAAAATCGTTGCTACTTTACGCAGGACGTTTCGCTTTGTTGTCTGAAATTCCGGGGAAACCGGAGAAGCGGTAACGGTAAACACGTCTTAAGTACTGTTCCACGAAATTCCCAGTGTCTTCGCTATCGGGTCTTGACCGCTGTTAATCATAATCTCTGTGGTGCGTTCTTCTGATGGAATCGCCCCAATAACTTTCGGTGAATTAGAGATCCATTTCCTGGCTTGCATGCCGGCGACTCCGCATAATGCCTTCAATTGACGGTATAGCTCCACTCCTTTACCATCGTTTTCAACGCTGTCAATAGAATCGTCCATATAAGTTGACTTAAGGACGGTCTCAGCGGAAAGGGGATAACGGTCTTGGTTTCTTCGAGCGTTTCCCTGCGCGACGAACTGCGACTCCATAGGGGCTGAATTCTTCCCAAAAACTGTACGGTTAAACTCGAATACATCTGGCTCTCGGTTAGGGTCAAGATCTCTCCACAACAGTCGGAAGTGGGATGTGTCCTGCTCCTCAATCTCTCTCTGAAGGTACATTTCTTTGATGTCACAGGCGATGCCAACAGGGTTCCGACGGAAAGAGACGAGGACTTTAAAAATATCTTGCAGTAATTTCTGCCCAGGATGAATCATGTCATTTAAAGAAGTACAACTACATTTGGCAGCACAGTCAAATACGATTCGTACTTTTGTTGTCGATTTATTCATTCTCACGACCGGAAAATGTGGCATATACCATACGTTAGCTGTCAGCTGTTCGTTTGAGGGAACCTTTCGTAAATATCCTTTACCAACATAGGCCTGGATGGTTGCTTGATATTCTTCGGCGACACGGCTGTTCTTCAAATTTCTTTCGGTGCTTCGTAGACGAGACAGTGCCCTAGGTTTAGTGTCAGGGAGAGCGGGTTTGTTTTCTTTCCAAGGAATGACTACACGATACTTTCCATTTTTGTACTTTAGGGAATCTTTCACTTTGCTTAAAGCTAGTCTTTCTTCTTCGGTGAGTACGAGTCTGTCATCGCAGTCTGTGCCAGACTTCTCAATTTCCCAGAATCTCTTTAAGCTGTTGTCGACATCACAACAGGACTCTTTTCTCTCGCTCCAAATTGGCTCTCTAGTGAACAAGGAACGAATAACGTGGGATCGTGTCCTCGCGGTTTCGCTTTCGTCAGGCGCATCTATACAACTCCACCCAAGTGGTCCGAGGCGGGCGA